CCTCCTGCCTGATCATTTTAAATTGATCGCCGTAAAAATCTAGAAGCCTGTGTGATGAATATTCTTTCCGTGTTAAGTTTTCAGTATCTCGCGAGAATCTAGTCTCTGTGGGAGGTCAGGGCGATATACGTAGCATCTATTACGTCGTGTTCTAATAAATAGCTGGAGTCTGGACTACTCAACGGTGTATAGAAGAATTCACGTGGCTTCATTCCATTAGAGAAACAGGGACATAACAGTGACAGAGAATGTGGAAAAATTGCGGAGTAACTGGATTCGAGGGTCCTGCCGCGCGCGTTTTGCTTGTCAGCGGCGAACTCACCTGTACGGACTGTGGTGTGAGGGGCTATTACGTGCAGCCGGTGCGTTTAGAACATTAATTTAACGCTGTATCTTAATCGTCCGATAAGGTAAGGTGAAGGACGATCAGCTGTTTCAAATAGATCACGATCAACTGTTTCAAAATTCTTTTCTACTCGTTTATGATCGTCTTACCATCTCATTCGACGAATAAAATGCTTAGTTTCATTCAGAGTTTTTACCCTTTGAAGCACGAAGCTCGTCTAAATAATATTTAAATAATTCAGTCCGTACCGCAAAGAAAACACTACACTTCACCATTACGAAAATCAGCTGGTTAACCCTTTGAAGCACGATAATGAGAGAGAGAAAGAGGAAATTGGTGGGGGGAGAAGTGAGAGACACTTCGATTTCATCTTTTAGTTAGAAGGTCCCCAGGCAATGCCCGCTCGTCCTTCTGTTAAGGATAAAGTAAGAGTGAAGACGTTAATGCGATAATTGGCAGAGAAGACGGAATTTTGAAATTTTGTATTAGCGAAAGCTGAGGCTATTAATTTGGAAGTTTAGTACATAATTTATAAGTTCCTACTGGGGGGGGGGTAAATTTTTACGGCATTAAGGGGGGGTAAATTTTGATTAATTAAAATCGGGAGGACGAAATTAGAAACCAATCAGACGCTGACAAATGCAGGGGGCATTGCGCGCGGTCGTATTGCTTCACTTGTTTCTTGAAAACAGTAAAAAGGCGGGCAGGACATTAAAAGAGCTCCTCTTTGGTTCATGATGTAATTTATTATTCGTCCCGCTCAGTGATCACAGTTTAGCTTTCCACGTCTCCCCCTCCCCCGGCTTAATATGCCGTCATTCTGCAGGGCCATTACAGTTGTTGACTCGTTCCTTTTTCGGAGCGCATTCCATTTTCAATTTCCGTATTTACAGCTCTCCTACTGTTGATGGACTTGGGGTGGAAGGGGGGGGGGAAGCCCACACACATTTTCTTGATTGAAAATTATTCCCTCTAATTGTATAGCTGCCACGTTCCTGCAGCAGGGGCTGAGCGATCGCCCATAATGATCTACTATCCCCGCCCACAACATCCGCCCCCCGTGATGGGGCGACGCCGTAGGGTAAGAAGAGTTACATTTATTACGCAAAGCATCGCACAAGGGCAGGCACGTCGGATGAATGAACTGTCCAAAAAAGCTATGACAAAATGCTTTCTGTCAGAACGGTTTTATTCCAAATTAAGGGTTAATTATGGGTATGGTGCTGATCGTGGTGGCCGCGTATTTTGAAAAAAACGTGATTCTTAGCCCGTCCGCAAACATTCGGCCCGATTAATGCTCCTTGCATAAGTTGAGAAGCTGATAGTGTTTCAACTAGTCAGTAAATTTCACGGCCTACAACGCATTTCCTTAAGATCACTTTTAATATTATCTCGTCACCTACGGCTAACTCCCCGAGTGGTCCCTTATTTTCTTAAGAATTTCTAATGAAAATTTTGTACGCATTTCTGATGTCTCACTACGTATTACGAGGAGCTGGTACTATCGAAAACTTCGCTTGTCTGTGTTTCTTTTGTTTATTGGTATTTTTGAGCACGCCACAAAGTCTTTTGATAATACTTAAAAGAATGAATTTTTGCGCGGCTCTGAAGACCTCTGTAAATTTTCTTCGCTTGTCCAATAGTAGATTTAAGTGATGTTCGTTAAGTATCTTGGGACGTAATTAATAGACACGGACTTTGCAGTCAGCCTTTTGTGAACCCGATAAAACTTTAGAGCTGCAAGCTTCTTATGACCCCTTGGGCTAGTGTCAAGTGATTTTTTTTGCGTCAGAAATGTTTTAATAATTTTACAGAGTGATTCATATTAGATTTAAAAAAAAATTATTAACAAAATTAAACAGACCTGAGAGACGGATGACAATTTTTTTTCCCAACAACGATGTAAAAATATGAAATTAATAAAAAGTGCGTCTGATATAATTGTGTGAAGAAGATTATTTGTAATTAAGTAAGATACTTGAAGCCTAATACAATTTGTTAGTCTGTATGTGGACTGTAAGGGAAATCACACGTTGTATACTTTATGTTTCCAATATAATATTGTGTGACAGTTTCAGTTGGGGGACACGCGGATAGACGGAAAAGTGTCAGAGAAAACTGTGGTATATTTTATATCTTAAGTTATTTACGTTGTATTCCTAAATTTTTATCCTATCAAGAACACTCAACGGAGTAGAAAATTGTCTTTGAACTTTTATAATAAATTAAAAATTGGAGAAAAGCTACGTATATTAACATATAAAAATGCTAGAGTGCTGTGAGAGTTGGGTCTTCAAATTAAACGCAAATGGACTCACATATATCATAATTTGGAGCTGCGAGACAATTACTGTTGGAAGTGTCTTGCACCTGCCTGTGCTATACATCACCGGAATTTCCCTATTAAAAGAACGAGCAATCCGGCAGTACGTGTGAAGAGACGAGAGAAACACTTCGTCACTCGAAAGCTGAGAAATTAGTGCAGTACTTAGCCTTCTGGACTCTAATAAATTCTGTACAGGAGGCTGAATGTGTCCTGCAGCTTGTGGCGTCGACATCATACTCAGACTTCCTGAGGCACTCGCGTAATGAGTAATATTTTCCTATAATACAGATTTTAGACTTAATCAAATAACACACACAAAAAAATCCATCCACATAACTTTTTAAATTTGGTTTTATCCTTTGAATGGTTTACTCTACTACATGTTTCGATCCATTATAGACCATCTTCAAGTGGATTTATGTTAATGATACTATTATTGATCGACAGAACTGTGTGAATATTAAAATTACATTTAAATATTTGAAATGATTAAAATTGATTGGCACTGATTAACAATTATTGAAAATTAAAATACTTCAGAAAACTGCAAATGTTGAAATATGACATGTTTTATCACATATGACTTCCGTGTTGTGCTGTGATGGAATGGACATCTTCTTCCAGGAAGAGGTGTGACGTAGTCTTCTGAGGAAAACATCTGTCAAAAGACGTTCGCTGTTAGATTTTTTTAAGACAGTTGTTAAGCCGAACAGGACAAGTCACTGGATTACCCTTTTAAAGTTAAGCAATAGCTGTAAGTAACAATTTGCTTTAAAAATTTGTAACTCTACTGCATTTTCCTCACAGTGTGCGTTTACGTGTTTCGTATGATTCTCAAAATAAACACTGATTATTTATTTAAATAGCATTAAGCATTTGGTATTTTTATCGATGAAGTGTTTTCTTTGCGGTAAGAACTGAATTTGTAAGACGAGATTTGTGAATTAAAAAGTTGACTTGTTAAATGTCGATTTCATTCTTACGTCACGTTAATATGATATTTTCCTTCTTGGAATTAATTATAATGTTTTCGACACGCAGTACGACTACGTGAGGGGAAGAAGCCTTTTGCAAAACACATCATCTCGGACAGATATCGGTTAACAGAACCGGGGGTTCAAACCCATGACCTAACCAATAGCTTTGCGTGTCTATAGCCGTGTGGTTCCGTTGGGATAGGAAAGTAATCTTTTATCTTTTTGCGAACAAGACTCAATCAGACAATTTATTATTTCTAGCGTGAAATTGTGAATCAGTAAGACTTCTCTAGCTATCAACGGCGTCAGATGGTTAAACAATAAAACCATTTGACGTGGCTGAACGCCCGAGAAGATTTTATTGAGTTACGTCGCCGTAAAAAGCTTCAAATCATTTATCAAATTGTGAAATTTTGATTCGCTCATATTATTTCTAGTTCGGACTTCTTAATATCTTCAGAAATTTCCCCTCCCTGAAGAAAGTCTGTAATCGTTTACCTGTGTCGTGGATCAGTTGTTTTCGGTTTGTTGCGGAAACCAGGCCGAGCAAACTTCAGTAGCCACCTCGCATAAGGATGAAAGAGATTTTGCGTTGCTGTCGTAATCTGTAGAACTCAGAAACGTCGATCATGTCGCGTGGATTAGCAAAGTAACAGTGTAAGTAAATAGTACTCCATTTCATAGTACACTGAGTTTCTGAAAGCTACATTTGTAATTGTTATTCATTTTTGTATACTGTCGATACATATTATTATTATTATTTAGTGTTCTGTCTGACGACAGGTCCATATGAACAGGATCCTTCCATCCTTTTCTCGGACTGGGACCTGTTCATATACGTTCTTGGCAGATGATCCAGAAGTGGTTTGCCATTGCCTTCTTCTGGGTGTGAATGGAGTAATTGTTGGGACGCCACGGAGAAACCGGGGAAGCCCCCGGAGGAAAACCCCGTGTTGCCTAGACCACGATCTTGCCCAACACAAGTTATAAATTCCGGCACCGCCGGGAATCGAACCCGAGACACCAGGATTACAAGGCCAGCGTTCTAACCGCTAGACCACCGTGGCGAAGAAATGACGTAATATTTTATTGTGAGAAAAATGGGTTTGTCTGCTAATTGAAATGATTATCTTCTCAGAGGTAACTTTAAAGCTAAGTTGAATTGTTTTAAGTTTCTTATAGGGGACAAACACACACACAGCGTGAGACTTGCCTCACAGAACAAAGTAAGTGTCCTATAAAATATGGCTTTCAGTTGTATCTCCTTACCACATTTCAACGTGCAGCTGGAGATATCAACGAAAGCGTAACGAATACCAGAATGTGTAATGCAAAGTAAGGCTGTAATCCGAAATGTTCCCATAAAATGTTTGTATTTCTGTGATACGTTTCATCAAATGAGCGTAGCCAATAAAATTGCCCCGAGCAACGCGCATTAAGTCATTAGAATTGTTATTTTCTAGCGTTCTGTAGTTACATGGATTTATGATCCATTACTATTCCCTGCCAAGTTATAGAACATTCTGGTATAAAGCGACAAATTTCACTGGAATTCTGTCTCTGTTGTAATACTGACTATTTAACTACGATCATGTTCCACAAGATAGAAAATATCACCACAACTTATTCTTATATGATTGTTTAAAAGACTTTAAAATGAAGTATTTGTAAATGTCTTATTTTACAGAAGTGTAAGTCTATATTCCATTACATTCGAAAGACGTAATCCCCTTCTAGTGCAATTGATGAAGACGCTAAAGAAAATAAGACATCGTTATCTCAGTCAACAAGCCTTAACACAGCTGAAGTTGTTATGAAACGTTAAAAGGTTATTGGAAACATTTTTGACAAATCGTGCAACTTTGAAGAAGACTTGGTTCTGTCAGGGGCGTTAACGAATGGCCACATCTTAACGTTAAGATATTTCTCTCTCTCGCGTTCAGTAGTTGCTAGGATACTACCTTTAAATAGGCCATGACCACCTCCTTTCAAATTCCTCACATACGAGGTGCGATCGGAAAGTTTAAAGACTGTGTCAATAGAGGGCGAACCGGATGTAGTACGAGCTTCTGCCGCTAGGGGGTGCGGCCTACATTCATAGTGAATCAGTGTGCCAGCCGGCATCATCGAATTAGTATTTGTTTCTTAGTTACGGGCGTTTTGGTAGTGCATTACACCGACCCTCCTGCGATTTCGGAATG